CACTCCCCCTGCCGCGCCCGCTGTCGTTTTTTTTGGGGGGGGGGGGGGTTCCCGGGGACTCTGGGCTCGCAGGGAGAGCCGGGAAGGCAGATGAAGGAAGGATCGGGGCGCTCCGCTGGGACGCGGGATCCAGGCTCGCCCCCTTCCCCGGGAGAAGGGACATGGGTTGCCCTGTCTGACTCCTGGTTTTCGTGAACGTTTGCAAACAGCTTCATCCTGAGGTGGAGTGGGACCCCTTTCGGGAGCGTTTTACAACCAGACGGTAACCCGTCACAGGCGATGATGGAAAGACTTTGCTGCAGTATCCGAGTTCATGGGGCAGTTGGCTGGGATGGGCGCTCGGGCCGCCCCACGTGGTGGCGAGCGTTGGTCTCGTTTCTGCCTTCCCCGCTAGCTTTCGTTGGTGCTGTCAGTTCCTCCCTTTCGTAATTCAGCCAAAGCAATTGCAAAATTTCCCAGAGTGCCTCTCTTGTTATTAAGGGTAGGGATTTCCAAAGCTTTGCTAATAAAAGAGCAACAGTTTCTATATCTGGGAAATGGGGAAATCAATGAATGGACTGTTGCAAGTGATATAACGGCTGTTTGTGGCATCTCGGGCAGTTCTCTAATATGATGGAGCTTTATGGCGTACTGTTTTGTCAGCTTAATTGGCAATATCCGCTCTTGGGGAGCCGGAGCCGCAGGGCTGGGTGGGACGGTGCAGTGCATCTCGCTGTGCCGGGGCACTTCTGCCCTGCACGGGTCTGGCGCAACCCTGACGCATCCCTCCTGCCCAGCAGGACAGTCCGGGGCTGCTGTGTGTCACCGGTGTCCCCGACTGATGCCACGTGGCCGGCCCAGCCCTGTATCACAGAGCAAGGTGCCATGAAACGCTCCTGTTTCCCACGCCTGGGAAACGGCAATTGAGAGGGTGGTGTGGCATTGCCTTTAGTCCCACCTAGCACAGCGGTGTCCGAGTGTGACCGTTCATGCAGCTCTGGAGAAGAGCGAGAAGAAAACGGAAATTATCCGGTGGGGGCAAAGGAGGCAGAGCGTTAACCGAGCCCCGGCTTAGGCACTTGCTGTCTTTTGGAGACTGTCCAGGCACTCTCTCCTTCCTTGGTTTCTCTTCCTCTGTGACGTCCCGATGCATGCGGTAGGTTTCACTTCAAAGTGGTTAGCAAATATTTTCCACTCCAGTGGGCTAATTGGTTAAATTACATTTCACATGCTAATTTATTCTTCTAATATTATTTTTTTTCCCCAGCATACTAGAATATCAGAGAAGATAAAAGCTAAGTTTGACCTTAGCGCCAGGCTCGGAGGAGCTGGAGATGAGAACAAGCGATGAGTTCCCAGGTTTACTGTGGCGTGGGGTTGTTCCCTGCCGTATTCAGGATCCTCCTTCAGTTGAGCTTTAAGTGTTTTAGCTGACTGCGACCCAGCCACCTTGAGTTTAACATTGTCCTCTGGTGCAGAGAAGAAAAACTTTCAGATCAGCGGTAAAGAGCTACTAATTTCCAGCTACTATCTGTAGCGCTGTTTCACCTCGGAGTGATGTGCACATGTCAGCTAATTAATCCTGGCAGGTCTAGGTGGCAATGCTGTTATTTCCCATGCATCAGGGGGTGAAGAAACCTGCTGGAGCCCACTTAGTCAGTGGGCCGCGGAGCCAGCCGCCGAGCTCAGCCCGCTGGCACGCGTCCCCTGCGGCGCAGCGCGGCCCGGGGGGCGGAATTCGATCCGGTCCGCGGTGTGCGGGGCCC